GCGCCTGCTGCTGCCGCAGCAGCAGCTGTGCTGCCCCTACTACTTCTACTTGTGCTGCTGCTGGCGCTTCTGCGCTGAGAACCAGAGCAAGCGCAACCAAACCCTCCCTCCCAAACCCCAAACCCTAAACCCCAAACCCTAAACCCTAAACCCTGAACCCTAAACCCTACCGCGGGCCTCTTCAAAAACGCGCTCGCGCTCTCTGTTTTCCTGCTGTTTCTTTTCTCTCCTCCGCTGCGCCTTCGAGGGTTTGCGGCCTTCGGTGGTTTTGTAGAGAGAAAGGCCCTCGAGAGTTTCAAGCACTGCTTTTTCTGCAGCCAAACCCTAAACCCTAAACCCTAAACCCTACAAAACCCTAAACCCTCGGCCCTGTGCCCCACGCCTTTTGCTCGATGCGCGGGGCACGCAGCAGCACGCGGGCACCAAGTGATTCGGGCTAGATCTCGCGGACTAGGGTTAGGGTTTAGGGTTTAGGGTTTAGGGTTTAGAGTTCACCTGCAGTTGGGGTGTTTGGGGGGGAGCTAGGGTTAGGCGCTGCTGCTGCTGCTGCTGCTGCTGCTGCTGCATCAGCAGCAGCTTGCAGCGCCTCCGCCTTGTTCGAGTCTACATCTGAGTCTGCTGCTGCTGCTTCTGCTAGCTGCTGCAGCTGCTGGTGCTGCTGCTGCAGCAGCTGCTGCTCCAGCAACGAATATTTTGCTTCTGCTGCTGCTCTTTCTTCTTTTGATTTGGCTTTAGCGCAAACCCTCTTCGCCTCTGTCCTCAGCACCTGCGCGCAAACCCTAAACCCTAAACCCTAAACCCTATACCCTAGGCAGCCGCAGACAGACCAGGGTTTAGGGTTTAGGGTTTAGGGTTTGGGGTTTCCACGCACGCGCAGCTCCGCCTTGTGCTGCTGCAGCAGCTTCCCGCGGCTCGGCAAAGACCCTTCCATTATGGAGGCAGAGAGCCCACTTCAGGGTTTAGGGTTTAGGGTTTAGGGTTTAGGGTTTGGGGTTGGCTGCAGACAACAGCCCGGAGGCCTCGCCGGGAGAAGGACCGCGGAAACCCTAAACCCTAAATCCTAGAAAAGAGCCGCTAGACCCTAAAAAGGAGAAACTTGAGAAGAGATAGAGGCAGGGGTTCCGGCACTTGGCAGGACCGTCAGCGTTGAGGGTTTAGTGTTTAGGGTTTAGGGTTTAGGGTTTAGGGGTAACGCCGACTGTCACAAAATCACAGAAAAACATACAAAAAACGAAAATGAAACGTCAATAAAACCCTAAATGCGAAACCCTAAACTAAACCCTAAACCCTAAACCCTAAGTTCTTACGGTGACTCTCAGCCGACGGAGGTCCACGGGGGGCCCCACGCCAGCACGCCAAACCCTGAACCCTAAACCCTAAACCCTAAACCCTAAACCCTAAACCCTAAACCCTAAATTTTTACACAAGTCCCTTCCATGGGCAAATGTCCTGAGTAAATAAATGGACACGGCTCGTGCCGAGGGTTCAGTTTCAACTCCCTACAGCTTAGGGCCTAGGGTTTAGGGTTTAGGGTTTAGGGTTTGGGGTTTAGGGTTTAGGGTTTACAGCCCTTTCAACGATCCAAAGCAAGCATGCCTATCTTTTCAGACTTCTTTGCCTTGGCTGGGAAACATTGACAAGTAAACTTCGGGCCTGCAGTTGTTTAGGGTTTAGGGTTTAGGGTTTAGGGTTTCGTCATGCGGGGGGTTCTGTCTGCCCTGCAGACTGCAGGGGCCCTGCAGAGGCCTTTGGTGGCCTGCTGCCGCGGCAGAACTTATTCTGCTGCAGCAGTAGGAGCAGCTGCTGCTGCTGCTGCTGCTACAGCCGCCCCAGCTTTGCAGCAGCAGCAGCAGCAGCAGCAG